AGGACCTCTACGTCTTTTCACAGTCTTAAGACACAAGGAGGAGTTTGAACTATAGCATCGAAAATTCTACTGTACATTTGAATTCTGGAGTTTTCAAACACATCCCTTTGAAATCCGAGATTTCTTTCCAAACTTCCACTTCTAATTCCAACAATACATGATCATAAAGCTTAAGACTGCAGTCATATTTTGTTTATTGTCATAGTCAAAATTTTGATAGAAAAACTGCTTTTAGGACAATTTTGCCCCATTTTGTGCGAGAGTTGGGCGCGCCAAAAAGAGGCGTGGTCCCACGAGCACGCTACGTGCAAATCCGCATTGTCGTCAAAGGGTTAATCGTGTGAGAACTTCATGTGTTCTCCAAATGATATCCGTGGTTAGATTGATTCGGAGGGTGCATCTTGAAAACATCGACAAAATGTGGTGCACTAGTATTTTGCCACACCTTGTACAGGGAAAGCAAAAAAAGAGAAACTTCGTTCATGACGCATTTCGGCAGGCTTTAGCTTGCATGGATGACGTGGTCGAAAAAGTCCTCGGCAAAATATTTTTATTCTGCTATCAAGACCCTGCTCTGACAGCATTTCAGATACCGTCGCCCACATTCTCCAAAAGTTTGAAGCATGCACAACGTTTCTATGGCAAATCTCTCTGGTGCCGTCAGTGTAGAAGGGTTAGGTTTATTGATGTAATGGAATGTGCTCTTCTCTTTTCAACTGAGAGCATTTGGTTTGAATTTACCAAATAGTGATTAATGCCGATATGATGTTGAGTGAGTGTCTCGTTTTGTGGGCCAAGTCCGGAGAATCAGGGAGGATGGATGAGGGTCTGTGTCCGGAGCCCGGTGAAAGGAGAAGCGGCCTTTACACGGCCTTCGGTTCTTGCACTACCTTACCTACGCCAGCCAACCACCTCTGTTTTTGTAATCCCCTTTTCCAGAGCTGACATGAGTAAATATCCAGCCCGCGTGTGGTTCCCAGCTTTTCGCACGTCTGTGGCCAGCCTACACCACAAACTCCTCCATCCTGTAGCGTCGTGTTCAACGCCAATTTTTAGCACCTACTATTCTTCTTCTCATCGTTCTCGTTCTCACAATCTTCTTCTTGTGATCGACCCCCTCCTCTATTTTCGCCGCTTCCATCGGCACCTCCTCCCTCCATTATGCAATGCGAGCTCAATATCTCCATTGTTGAACGGGTTTTTCACAACACTTTGCACGCTAGAACGAAGCTAAGTAGAGCTCAAATACTGTAAAGACATTTTTTGAAACTCACTTGCCGTCGATCTCCACTTTACAAACCAAATCGCCAGCAAAGTGAACATTTTGGGCGAAATCCGACAAAGCGACAACACTCTCGAAAGGATGGACCAAACATCTCTTCGCTTTTTTGCTGAAATAGGATTCCGCAGTTTTTTATTTTGAGACGTTACAATACTGTAGCTTCTCAAAAATGATATACCATAACGAACATAGCCGAGAAGTGGAGTTTCTGAAAGTCAAAAGCCCGATTGGAATGGTTGATTTCGAACCAGAAGGTCTGATAAGAAAACAACCCACGAGCTGCTTTTACAACATGAAAAAAAGTTGGGCACGGCATGGTACATGCGGGGCTGATATTGTGGGGTGAGCCTGACTTGCGCAAGCCTTCTTTCTTCTGTAATGGTTGAGCATTTACCTGTTAACCTGATCGACTACTGTTGCGCACAAATATTTTAAAACAAGCAGGGGCAAAGGTAAACCAGTCTTTTTTTTACCCCAGATTTAAATCTGCTACCAGTTCAGGACTTCGAAATAAGAGGGCTCACCAAATCTGGACGAGATTCAATCCAAGATCTGTAACGCGAACTTACAATCGCGAGTTTAAGTGCCCACCTGTCACTGCCACTAAACCCGCCCTACAACCAATTAACTAAGGTTCGTTGAGTTATTTATTTATTTGAGTTTTCGTAATCATAGTCTTACCTGAATGATGTTGGCCATTCGTGCGATATTACATGCGCTGTAGCCTTGCACGTTCTTTACCGTTTCGAACGTATCCTCAATAAGATTGTTCAATTGCAGATTGCAGCAGACGTATCCTGAAGTAAGTGAGCAAATATTGTTTAAAGTCATGAGCGCTATTTTCGGAAGACGAGAAGAAAATCGAGTGCAGACCACACATCATAAGAGACGACGGCCAAGAGAAAAGGCTTTTTTTCCTTGGGCCGTCGTCTCTTATGGTGTGTGGTCTGCACTCGATTTTCTTCTCGTCTTCCGAAATCGAGGGTACGTACATTTACAACAAAATTTACCACGTCCAATTGTGGTTTCATTCCCGGGAATTCTGGTCGAAATCAGGCCTTACCCCGAGAAAAATGCAGCGCAGTGCAAGCGCGGATCATGCACACAATTATCAGGATGATTTGATGAGGACGAAGCGCTAAGGCCCTAAGGTGTTTCATTGACCCCGCCCAACAGAACTGACTCCATCCTCGGGCCACTGCTATTGCGCCGCCGCTACGGTATAGGGGGACTTTATTTTCGTCCTTGTTGACGGTTTCCCTCCACTTCTTCATTACGACGTTACACGATACATTTCCACCTGACAACACATCAGTTTGATTCCGGACTTTCCCTTCAAAAGCTGATGTCTGAGTTTTCAGCGGCGGCTTCCAGCTTTTCCATCAGAACCTTCTCTCTTATGCATCCGTACTAAGCGACTAAGATTAGCCTCTGTTCTTCATCTGGATCTCATGACCCGTTCTCCTTAAAGGACCTACCGAGCATATCCGCGCTCCAGGGAGTTTCCTATGAAGGGTACCAGTTATGAGATCCAGATACAATGCGGCGTAGCTCAAATTCCCAAAACTCGTCATCAGCCGACGCGTAGCGCGTTCGCGTTTAACCGATTACACATTGTCACCCCAAATAACTTAGAATTTACGGTACGAATCTTTAAAAAAATCACATTCTTCCCAGTTCTAATATCAGAGCAACAAATGATTTTTGAGGGATGAAAAGAAAATGGAAATGATGGAAAACTAGGCAATTTGTATGCAGTAGTTATCATCTAAGTGACTCCAAACAGCACTCGCACGTGGGTTAATACAGCTTGGAAACAGTTTTGGAGGCTATGTAGCTTCGCAAAACTATTCGAATTAGGCATTCCTAGAAGTAGCGTGGTTTTCAAAGCTCGCGGTCGATTTGGAGGCTTATACATATAATTCCACGTAACCCTACTTTAGCGTCGATCTGTCCCATATCCTATTACCAACTGTAAATGGGAAGGGTCTGCTTAGAAGTTTAAGAAATTTTACTTCTTTCAACCTTGCGAGCTCCTCATCATTTTGCAAATTAGCCCTTCATTTCTCTTCCCAAAAGTACGTGCATACACATCGCGGCATGTGTCTAACTGAAACTTAGGTGAAATATTTCAAACTCACGGTACCTGATGGATTGTAGAAACACGACGGTAGCGGTACCATAACTTTGGGCGGGTAGTAGTACTTGGCATTCGGAGCGTCTTTCAAACTTGCTTTGATATCATCAGTACGAATCTGAAACACCATGTGTTTGCAGTTTGCATTTTATGGTCCATAGGGTTGCAGTAATGAAATGAGTTATACTAAACTACTCATTATCAATACAGTAGTCAAGCTAGCAACTCGGGGTGAGCTGAGCTGTCCGACTGATCTGTCCATCTTTCATTAGCTTTTTTTGCATAGACATCTCTAAATCGGCTGGGATAGTAAACCTCCCTGTACTCAGAGTTGGCGGGTCGTGAGCAGCTCAGGTAAAAGTAATGGTTTCCTAACCGGTCTAAAGCGCTGCCCGACACATCAACTCACGTTAACTCCATGGCTGCATAAAGGATAAAAGGATAAAGCATTTGCCGTTGATCAATCCCTTTTTGGGATGCGGCACGCATTCTACTTCCATTTGTACATTCGTAGTGGCGTTTGAATGCGATGTGGCCTATACAATGACTTGCGGGGCCAGCCGATGTACAAGTCAGTGTTTTTATCCTCCCAGACAAGTCTGGTACCAATTAACCGACCCCGGAGGGATGGAAGGCTTGGTTGGCCCGGGCGACTCACGACCCAGGATTTGATCCCCGGACCGCTCGCGTGGTAAGCGTGCCACTTGCCACTACACCACTTCCGCCCTATGTTAGAGAACTTAAACTGTGATCTAACAATCGTGGTAGTCTTGAAATCCGAGATAGCAGTCAATCTCCTACTGCTTCCTAATCACTCAATGACGATTTTTTTGAGTTGACCCGTACAGAGGGAAAAATCGAGAGCTTTCATGATCGCATTTTTCGCCAAAGTGCCGCAAATGGCCATTTTCAATCAAGCTGAAGCTAACTAATAACTCAC